CACTAAATGCACTCACACATGCCTGGTTGTGAAATCTGCCCCAAGCAGCCCGAGAGGAAGAAAATTTGGGAAGGGAGGGGGTACAAGTGATGATAGGAACAAGAAAATAGAGCACTTATTTCCTAAATTCTAAAAGATCTGATATATAAATTTAGGGTTTTGGTTGCTGTATCCTAAATTGCAATTAATATCTCCTCTTCTGCAACCCTCCAAATTGCATTACTGTTTATACTAAAACCTTACTAGAATCCTCTGCTGAGCAAGCCACAGAAAAGCTTATTAACACATGCAGTATGGGGGGGAGGAACTCTCTGCTTTCAGATTCTGGATCAAACATACTTGCTAATAAAGTGTAATAGTGGAAACCAATAGCATAATACTTCTCTTGACATTTTACATTTAATATATCTTGTCAAGAGGACAAGTCAAGGATGACACAAACTCTAAGCTAAACCTTACAAACCACAGTTCCACTCTCTTTCAGAATGTTATGATAGACGTAGTAGATCAAATTTGGGAAAAAAAATTGTATTAATGACAGCTACTAGCAATAATCCTTGCTTTTACAGCTGAAAAGAGAGGAGTAAATTGAAGCATCCACTTGAGAATCCTCTTATATTTTGGTCGCTTCAGGTAAGAGATAAGGATTTTTTTAGATGTAAACTGTCTTTTATAGATGACTTCTCTAGCAGAAGATGATTGTGCTACATCAGCCTCTCAAGTGTAAAGGTAAGGCAAGACAATTTTTAGTCCGTTATGTTCTTTTCTGTATACTAAAGAAGTTGATCATGATTTTATGAGATTTCCTAAGCTAGTCTGGTATGTAAGATAGGTTCAAGGGCAACTATGTTAAGACTGAGTTGCAGCCCTTGTTATTTTTCTAATAAAGAGGTCCTACTACTTGTTCTGCCAGTTAGGTAAAGCTTGAGTAAACTGATTTCCTATAAAGAAATAGAGCAGCTGAGATTCATCTTCCAACTGCCTAATAAAAGACTCGAACAGACCTGCCATTGCTGTTATTCTAAGCTTCTGTACTTCGCAATGCAAGGCTTTTTGACCAAAAAACTCAGTCAACTGCATCTCCAGCCTTCCCCTAATTTTAGTGTATGCAAGAGGAAGGAGATCTTTTAACAGATTACTCCCTGAATTCTCTGCTCTCTGAAGATTTTTTTTTTCTCTTCTTAGAGACAAGCTTCACTTTCAAAGTGAGACTTGAATGATTTTTTCTTTAGTTAAAGCCGTATTCTGTTCTAATAACTTCATAGTAATCCGCAAATGTTCTTTAGCGAACAACTGCTGTGGCATTCCACTGCTAAAACAGGATTAATTTAACTAAAATGACTAAGGTGGGGGATATCCTCTACAACAAGATTTTTTTTTTATACAAACTCTTGTTCTCTATCTCTTCTAAATATATTCAGCTATGGGAAAAACTGTCATTCAATAGGTTTCCATGACAGCAGCTGAGGTAAAACTAGACTAGCTATTCCAAAGGTCGCTCATTGAAAGGCACTGATCAGTGAGGGTGATTTGGCAATGTGATTATGGGAGAGCAAAAAACAGAACTGCAAGAACCTTAGGTTATCATAACCACGAAGAAATGCAGCATAGGAGTAACATAAGGAAGCTGCAAATCTGTGATGGCTAAGAATTACAGGGGCTAGTAAATTGCCTCATAAAGACATAAATACATATTAACAGTATATGACAAAATGAGCTCTTAAAAAAAAAAGTCCTGTACTCTGAAAATAAGAGAGGGTATAGGAGGTTGGCTTGTGTAAGTAAATGCAGAGAGTAAAGACAGTAAGTATGTATATTATTGCTATACACTTATTACTATAAGTGTACTGATACCCTGTACTGATACATGCACAGCATCAAATAGCTGACTTAATCGCAATAACTGCTTATGAGTTTTCATGCAAAGTCCTAATATACTTAAAATGCTACTAAGAACAAACCTGCAACACTTGCTGTCCAGACCTGACACTTTCATCCTGGATAAATGAATTACTCCTCTGATTTGTTCTAAATGTTAGTTCATTACTAAACATCTACCTGAGATTATTCTTGAATTTTATTCTTTTCTTAGTTTTCCTTTTAAAGTCAGGAGCTGTAAAGGAATTGGGAGCTGATGGCACCAGCTGGTTTGGCTGCCAATTCAATGCAGTGGAACCCTAAGCACTTGGCTAATTTGCTTCTATTTCTCAGTCTTTAGACAACGTAATTGTTGACTAATGTTTCAAAATGTTAGCACTAACTCTAGGTAGACTGTAAAAACTCTCAGAAATGGGTGTGCTATATGTATTTTTTACAAAGCAACTGTAAGTAATAGCTTAGAAAAGACATTGAGAAAACAACAAGCCAAGAAGTAAAATATTGCAAGCAACAAGTTGAGACATCCACATTAATTATGCTGAATAACCATACAAACCTTATGGATAATTCATTACATACTTCTACATTCGAATAATTAGTACATGATTACCAGGAGAAATTTTACTTGATTAAATAGCTTCAGCACTCTGAAGCACTTTTACCTGCAAAGGAAGTAGAATGCTCCAATTACAAGAACTCCTAGAAGAAGAAGTGAAGCCAAGAAAGCTGCAAACAGGTCACCTTTTGTTTGAGATCTGATGCTGGGCAGCAAAACTTCCTCACAACGGGCTCCTGTGTAATTCTCAATACACCTGGGAAAACAAGTTTTATTTGGATTAGATTGCAACTTGTAATCTAATATGAAAGGCAAAAAGGCTTCTTTGGGTCTTAAATGGGGAGAGAACTTCTTATGGCGTAACTCAAGGTTTATATTTGCTTCACAGCAAGTTTTCTTACAGAATTTCCACTCACCTCGTATTTCTGGGACAAAGGGAACCAGCAAGCTTATATTCTGATCCATACTGCTTTTATATATATTAAACCACATCTTTCTTAATACATTCACTGCATTAGCAATATGCTTCATAATGGTGTACTTCACAGTGAAATCTGCCTCCTGCACTAGTGGGTTTAATTAATTAAATTCACATCTTCAGTGTTAACTGCATCATCCCACTGGTTCTCATCTTACACACAGTAGTCATGCTTTCTTTTTTAAAAATAAATAAAATGAATGGCTTAGTCATTCATACTGAGTCAAAAACAGATAGGCTGAAGCTAAACTAATCTTAATTTGTCTTATATTTTACACTTATTCTGCTAAGTTTTCTTAAGGAATGTATTGCATTACAGAAAATGGAAAGCACTTCATTCAGTAACTACATTTTGCATGTACCTTTATGCATGCAAGTTTGCTTCTTTGTATTACTAAAGATCTCGTTCCTTCTTGCTATTTCTGGCACTGAAGTCATAATAATCTATGACATAAGCAATTTTGGGCTCCAGCTGAGAAAAACGGGCTGAACATCGTAACATACTTGAAGTTCTCAACTGGCATTGGCAGCTGCAAGGTATAATTTCAGATGAGGGATAAGAAGGCAGAGTGGGGAGGAACTGCCAAAAAAAGAAAGATGTCTAGCATACCTAAGTAAGACAAATGGATTACTGTGAGCATACCACCATGCATGTGACTCCCTGCACTGCTTTCTGTAGATTATGGACCACTATTTCAGTACCACTGGTCTAAACTACTGCACAAAGAATTAATTCAATTTCTTTTAATTCTTTGCCTTTATCATCCTCTATTAAAGCTGTGCAACTGATCTAACAAGCAGCATCTAGTAAGGACAATGTGAGATTTTTCAAAGTTACTACATTTGTCTGCTGGGAGAAGGAAGGGTAGGTAGGCAGACTGCTCTGACTGCTTGAGATAATGTTCCAGATATTTACTGTAAGTGTAGTGGCATTTCAGTGGCCTATTTCTGAAATACTGTGGAATACTTTAAGAATAGAAGTGTAGTTTGAGTGGGGCATTGTTCTCGAGCAAGTGGGAGAGAAATGCTTTGGAGAGCTGAATAGAATAACAGGGATAGAAAATGGAATATAAAATTCATAGAAGTATTCTTGAATAGCACTGAGAACTGTAGAATAATCCAAGGCTAAAATGATACAGGAAGAAAAAATAAATAGGTTTTGGCATCAAAGTAAGGCTCACAGAAAAGTTCTAGAGAATGAGTGTAAAGTATGAGTAGTCAGTAGCCTAAAGAAAGAAATGAAGGAGGAAGAAAAGACAGTCTTAGCTGAAGGGAGTTGCATACAGGGTTCGGTAAAAGGCTAGGGTTAGAGAACTGTTGTGATGTAGAAAATACTGTCAAGTAACCAAAGAATGATGGAGGCTTCTATAGAAACAAGAAAATGTAGTTGAGGTATCTTTTAGTTACACTTAAATAAACAGAATTATAGCTAATGTGACCAGGCTTTGCTACAGTTAGGGCATTTCTGAAAATCCAAATGTTCAAATATTGGCTTGCATAAGCTTTTATGAAGTCATCAGTGCTCATGTACAAACAGGTGAAGGACTATGTTATATACAGAAGCAACTAATGCTTTAAGACAGCCATGAAAGGGAAAGGTTTCTACTGTAAGTCCTTTTCTAACATTGGTGGGGAAAAAAAGACCAGACTCAAATAATTAGCAGTGGAACTCACTCAGAAGATCTGCTCATCCTGCTGCATTAGCAGAGCTAATAATTTCAGTGGAGTTACATACACAGTGACTGCAAGACAGAAAAGTAGCCTGTAACAAGCATGTGGGCTATGAACATAATCCAGATTGATGTAGTGTCTGCTAGAGGCAGTCAGTCTTGCTACCCACAGCCTTAAGAGTCAGTAGCAACTCAGAGTTTATCTTGCTTGTAATGGATGCCTAAGAAGAGCACAAGTTAAGCATGATGCTCTTGCAGTTGTTAATATGGCAGGCAACTGTGCTTCTGCACTTGAATAAATGAGGGTAAAAGACAGAGAAGCCTGCTTCTAGGCTGTAGTAAGAGGGAGTTGCACTAAGTCTTGTGGTCACTAGGCCAGGTGTTGCTGTTGCACAACCTCTGCATGTTGCTCGCCTGCTATTTCGGCACATGCTTTCTGTTGGCTTTAAGTGGTCCTACTATGTAGCATTCCAAAGTTGGTTTTTGAAGTGGAAAAAAGGTCTTTCCTCCTCTAAGAAACTATAATTTCCAATCCAATCAGAGTTGAAAGACTTCAAATGTTTGAGAAAAAGTTGTGAATTATTATTCTTAATTATTGACTTTTTTGGCTATACTTTTGGTGTGTATTCTAACTTTTGTTCTTACCTTTCAAGCTAAAAGCAGAATTGAAAAATACTAATTGGACACTTTGTGTTTTCAGAAGAGCCTAGGGTATGCAAAAGCATAGTTCTGGAGGCAGAGAAAGAAAAAAACCAAAACCCAGATGAATGGGAAGCCCTTCACTGGCAACTTGGAGTGTGTGTATTCTGAAGGCACAGCAAGTATATCACTCATGGGGATATTTGAAAAACAGAATGAAGGCCCCATCTTGGAGAAAAAGCCAGGCACGGGTGGGGTATACAGAAAGTGATCACAGGAATTTGCATGGGATTTATTAGATTAGTGTAAGGCAAGTGGAGGAGAGATTGAATTAGGGTAGAAGCAAAGGAAGGGGAAAGTGGAGATATCCTTTAACCATACACAGGAATTCCAGGGCAGAGATTTCTAAGGTCTGCCTCTGTCTCTTGCAGTACTTAACCTGAGTGCACTGCCCTCTGCAGAATATGATCCCATCCTCAAAAGGAGAGTGTTCAGTATTAATTTCTGTGTGTAGAGCTCTCAGAAACAGAGGAGCTGTGTTCATGTGGTCTTATACCATCTGTATTTTGTATGAAATACAGAAAGAAGGCTCTCAGAAATCTGTCATGTGTAAGACAAAATGAAAATACCAGAGCTTCCCCTCAGACAACAAAATCTTAATTCTGCGCTGCATTAATTAATGACTATGGGACAGCTGTGCATCAGGTGCTGAGGCAAACAGCTTTCAGCCTCATGCTTTATGATACACCTGAGACAGCTGCTTTTCCATCCTTCTCCATTCTGCTGCATGTTTATTTAGTACATTTGAGCATTGCTGGGTTTGAAGCTCATCTTGCTTATGGTGACAGGTGCGCCTTTTGCTGCTGAGAACATTGACTCACTGCTAGGACGGGAATGAGGGAAGATGGCAGCTGAGCAACTTCATGTTTTACCACACATCAGCTGTATTTAAAATCTGCTGATGTTGCACAGGGGTGGAGGGTCAACCAGTGTTCTCTTTCTATTAAATATATATTCAGTTCTGAACGGTAAAAATAACTGAAATTCCAGAAGTAAAGTGTTTCTTAATTTGTTAGCATGTTACAAAATACGTAATTCTAAAGAATTATGCAATTTTCTGAGTCACATTGTGAAACTGCTTCAAATTATGTTGCATCAGGTGATCTGGACTAATCTGGACTGTTTAGCACAACGCATTTGTGTAAATAAGTGGCATGTCAAGGCAAATGTGTTTTAAGGTATTTTTACAGTTAGTCTGTTCTTGCTCCATTTCCCCCTTTTAATCAATGCTGTACTAACGATCATTCAGCCTTTGATTCTAAAACTGACTGACTCAATTTTTCTGTTGGTGGGAGGTGATCATCTGAGAACACCTGGAAGCTTTAGGTGGGATTTGGCAGAAACCTTCATCAAAGACCCTTGCGCAACTGTGTGATGATGCCCATCTTGAAGTTCCAAAGCACCAAATATCCTTCTGAATTCTGCTGAATAGCGATGCATTTTTTTTCTGTTGTTTCTATTCACATCACTGCTGATTACTAAGATATCTGTGCGTAAACAAAACCTTTCTCATCTATAATTAGCCTTCTCTGACTGATTAAGGAACATGTTTAGAATGAGGACATGCCTAAATAGAATGCTGCTATTTAAGCCCATATAACTTCATAATCAACCACTAGATACAGAAGAAAAATACTTGCTAATTTAAATGCAATAAGATTGCCTAACAGAAATGCACCGAAGATGTTAGTTTTCTGCTTCAGCAGATTATAAAATCTTTTAGTACCTGAATTACAATGACTTCATTTGGAGCCCTTTTAAAGTGGAAATGATCTATGCTGACTAGCTTGTGCTCCTGAAGAATGAATTGTTCTGAATATTTGTTGCTTCATATTTACAGTTGCTGCATCAAATACACCCTCCTCACTACACAGCACAGCAATAGTTGAGAGAGGGCTCTGAAATTGTGTAACTGATGCTCTTTAGTCTAACCATTCTTTTTTGATTTAAGTGTTTTAATATCAATAATATGAGATTCCTTCTAGGAAAAAAAAAAGCATAGTTCATTCAAAGCTGTGGGTTTTTTGTGTGTGTAGAATTCATTTCACATTGCGTAAGCTTGCAAGGTTTAGCAGTTAGAATAGATCACCATCATACAGCACTTCCGAGCTTTATCCTCACTTCTGGATCTGAGTCATTGTACAATATGCTGATGACACTGGACAATAATGCTGTGTATATTTTTCAGTGAGCATTTACTACAAAAGTGCCTCTTCTCATCTACTAGATGAGTTTACGTGATTGAATTTAAAAGTTTACATTGAACCGTCCCGAAGACAAGAACGGAATACTTCAATTAGGCATCTTAGAAAGTATTTTGTTTCCTTCTTCAACTGTTTCATCCAGTTATCATCAGTTATAGCACAAGATTGAAGAGGGAGCAGAAGTTAGCACGGAAATAAAAAAGGCAATATCCTTAAGTGTATGTAATAGGTGTCTGAACGCCTATTTTTATGTTAAGTAAATCCATTAAATTAACCGTAATTTATTTTGATGAATGATAATTCAGAATTAGTAAATGCAGAACCATGAAAAATTAGAATGTAATTTAGCATCTTCTTAGGTCTTGGAAAATGAGAAAATAAAAGGATAGGGCTGTATTTATGCAGGAATCATATCCACATGCAAATATAGGAAGTGTTTCTTTTCCAAGGTGCTACATGGACTTCAAAAAAGAATGGTCCCATAAACGAATGGTGTAAGAAGTTGCTGCCTTGATGTTTCTTTATCAACTGGTCTTTGGCTGTCATTGTAAAGCTGTCCTCTGAGTATTTCAGTGAGATTCAGAGATCACAGTAAGTCATGAATTACATTCTTTTCCCCCTTAAAAGATTATATTCCTTTTTGTGCCTCCTCATTTTATTCAGGCCAGCCATTTTATATTATAAGCATATTTGCAATATAACTCATCTGAAAGAAAAACTGGGAATGTACTTTGTCTTTCTGAATGCCTTTCCTACAGCCTATACTCTATGAGGCAAAGGGTATTTTGTTCCTTTCTGTATTATAATGAGGGGAAGGAATATGGCTCTAAATATATATATCATTCTGAATGCATGTATAACTGAGTACTGTTGCACATGTCAAACAAGTATACACCTTTATTTTTCTCCTATTGTCATGTCTCTGCAAGCTAGATAAGTAATCTGAGCATGAATTACTGAATTTGGAACAACCATAGGTAATAGGTATTTTCTCTTATCTAACTTTTTAACAGTAATTTCTTAATGAAGGAAAATGGTGAAATAGTTTTTAGATAGCTGATGTCCAATACTTAAACACGCAAACTTTAGTTTCACTGACCTGCAGAATGGACTTGATACAGTAGGAATCATATAACAAATCCCTCCATTTAGACAAAAAGATCCATAACTGGTGCCACAGAGTTCTTCATGATCTTAAAAATAAGACCAAAACAAACATAGAGAAAAACAGAGACTTCTGTATTTTCATCAGTAAAAGGAGATCTTAATTACATTTTTGGGGAGTGGTAGTGGCTTCCTAAAAACAAAACAAAACACAACAAGAAACCACCACATATAAACAAAACCACCCTATGAACAAGTGAGGTCTCAGTCTTGCCTTCCAGGCCAGCAACATAGAACACCATCTATCCTGCAGAATTGTTTCATGTAACAATATGCAAAAAGACACAAATTTATCACCATGTCAGACATGAGGCACCTAAATTATATGAATAAATGCAAAATCTCTCTTGCAGTGAGAGGAACTTTTGAATTTTCCATTACTTCATTTGCCTTTCATGACCACAAACTGTACTGAATACAGCGATTCACATGATGACCTGTATGAAGTCTGGTTTGTCCTGTTCCAGTGGCACAAACTATCTTTAGCTTAACTAGCTTCTGTGAGAGAATCAAGAGTCAGTACAGATAAACCTAGAATAGTCTCAGGTGTGGACCAGGACATTTTCAGACTGCTTCAGGCTGTATTAAGCGATGAATCACAGTGCAGTTGGGCACCTCTAGGTTTTCCCACCCCGTTTTTTAACACCCGATGGAGGAGCTAGCCTAGGAAGTGTCACTTATGTAGAAGACTGCTTGTTACAATGTCATTTCTACAGATCTCAAACAGGCTTTTTCCTAACTCAGTGAGCTTCTTCTAAGAATTGTTGTGCAATTAAGCATTGTAATAAAACCCCACTAAACCACCCCCCCACAAGACACTAATCTTGGTGCTTGTAGCAGCAGTTGTACATTTTACACTTAAAAATAATATCTAACTACCATTTCACTCTTTTTGAAAAACTAAATTTGGAAGTTGGACTGCATATATTTATGATACATTTAATGCATCAGTAACTCATATATATGCTTCTAATTTTTATCTATTTCTTCAATCTTATGAAACTACAATATCTCAATCAAAAGAAAAACAGAGCAGTCTTCTGACATCACAAGTGTGAGAATCAAGTGTCACCTCACACTTCAGGTGTTGGTTTTGCTGTTATTCCAGAAGTTCTGAAAAGAAGAATGCTGCTGTCTTACTATTTCTGTATAGAAGATGTGTCCTATACAAAATATAGTGTTGTTTAAGAGGAATAAAGATTCTAATTTTCTTATTTGCCCTTCAGGATAAAAGAGATAGGGTGCCCCTCTATTCCTGAAAAAAAAAAGCAGTGAGAAGTGTGGCCATAAGACATACCTTAGAGGGAGCTTATATGGCTTTGTATAGAAAATAAACCTGACATTTCTAAGAGTAGCAGAAAAGCGCAGCTACTTCTAATCCTGTGCAACAAAAACATTGTGCACCCTGCTGTCCTCTAGACCATCTCCAGTAATTCCACTCTCCATTCTTTTCATGCATTCTTCCACTTCTATGATGGCATATTGATGCAGGAGTGTGAGTAAAGGCCTTAGTATTATTTGAAGCCAAAGGCAGTTATACCACAGAGCTCAACAGGAATTCAGTTTCATGTTCATGTTATCAAAGTGCTAGCATCTCAATGGTAACCAGGCCTTTTTGCATGTGTGCAGATAAATTATGAAGCTGGAGGAGGGGGAGGTAACGCTGGAAAGATTGTTCACATCGGACCTTGTTGCATTGAGATGTGGCATCACAGAAATGTGTGTTCTGCCCTACCCTGTTAGAAGTTAAACAGAAATTTATTTTAACTCTGAAGCTTTCTGTGCTTGTCTATAGGCAATTCATTTGCTGCAAGTTCACTTTTAAAATTATTTTGCATAGTTAACAGTATAATTCCAATAGGAATAAAATGGTAGCAGGAAAAAACAATTACTTTATTTTAGTCTACTCAAATATAGCAGTGGAACTTTCTGTGACAGTGTAATTAAATAAAAGGTGATAAGTTGCATCCAGTTCTGGTGCTCCCAACACAAAAAGGATATTGAGCTGTTGGAGCAGGTTCAGAGGAGCGCCTACAGGAAAGCTGGAGAGGGACTTTTTACAAAGGCAGGTAGCGATAGGATGAGGGGTAATGGTTTTAAACTGGAAGAGGGTACATTTAGACTAGATATTACAAATAATTTCTCTACTGTCAGGGCAGTGAGGCACTGGCACAGGTTGCCCAGGGAAGTTGTGGATGCCTCCTCCCTGGAAGTGTTCAAGGCCAGGCTGGACAGGGCTTGGAGCAGCCTGGGCTGGTGGGAGGTGTCCCTGCCCATGGCAGGGGTTGGACTGGATGAGCTTTAAGGTCCCTTCCAACCCAAACCATTCTATGATTCAATGATCCTTCCTTAAGCGAAGAGAGGATATAGAATATGTGAACAGTGTATCAGGATATTTATACAATCATAAGAATCAAGAGAGAAAAAGCAATTCTCAACTTTGACCTGCTTTCAACTCTATTATGCATCTGAGGGAGTTAAGTGTTGTTGAAAATTCTACCAGATAGAAAAGTGAGACAATAGAAGGTTGGCCCCACAGAAAAATCCCTTTAGAGAGCTTTGGAAAGCCTTCAAAGAAATGCTCATGAGAATTCATGAGAATGTGTTAACTTCCTTAAAATCCTGCCTTATGGTTTTATTCATTTTCTTCATCTTCATGCAGAAATAGGCCTGTCCCACATTGGCGCAGTGGTAAAGTACTGAAGAAAACTAAACACCTAAAGTCAATTGGGTCTCAGAACATTCTGGAGAATTATTCTCTCACTGTTATGTTGTGATCTGTGTATTAAGGACCAGCTCTGCAGCCCAACTAGGCATTTCTGTTCTGCCAAAATACCTCAGGCACTCTGTTGTAGGCCTATTAGAGAGAAGTGAGAGGGGTGGAGAGAGAGAACAGAAAGTACCTAGGAAGCCTTCAAAACCTTTTTGATTTGTAATTACAGACATTTCTCTATAGGCTATTTCTTTCTAGAGCTAGACTGTTTTCCAGTGTGAAGGGAAAAATGGTACCCTTATGTATTGCGTTCTCTGTGAGGGTTTTTTTGCTTTGTTTTTGGTAGTGGGGGAGGACTATGGACATAGCCCTGTAAGAAGCTACCTGAAAAAAGCTTCCCCACTCCAATGTCACACCCACCCCGGTGCAGGTAGCACGGCCCCAGCTCTGGCCTTGTCTGGCTAGGCTGGGCCAGCCCAGCCCCAACTTAAACTTAAGCCTTGCTGCAGCTCCAGCTTGAAAAAGAGAGAGCTGGGAACCCTTCAGAACAATCAGAAGAGACCTGCAGCGGAGAAAGGAGTGGGACCTGAGGAGAACAACTTTAAAAAACACCAAAGGTTGGTTCAGGGAAGAAAGGAGAGGGAGGATGGGAAGGGTGCAGAGTCGAGGTTTCCCCTGCATCTGTGGCAAGAGCACCGGTCGACTCACCTGCAGCCCGTAGAGTTCATCAGCTGGGGCAGAGCCACATGAGTAGTGGCTGCCTCTGAAGAAGTCATGACTGCGGGCAGTGTGGGCTGGAGTAGTTTGTGTGTGAGGGAACTGTGACAGTGGGCAGACCCAGATTGGACTTTTGAGGACTTTTTCTCCTGTGGGAAGGGCGCCATGTGGCAGCAGAGAGAGAGGCTGGGAGAAGTCTTCCCCTAGGCCGGGAAGAGGAAGGAGCAGCAGCAGACAGCAACCCCCACTCCCATCCCCTCCCCGCCCCCGGACAAAAGGGGGGAAGTGAAGAAACCGGGAACAAAAGCTGAGCCCGGGAAGAGGGGAGGGGTGGGGGGAAGGTGTTTTGACTTTAAGATCTGGTTGTATCTCCCATTGTTCTACTCTGATGTTGGTAACAAATTAAAATTGTTCT